CTGCTGAACTCATTCCTCCAGGACCACCCTTTCCTAGTTGTACTTGGCTTCAGCGGGCAAACCCCTTCCTACTCCTCCTTTGGGCCCCCACTTAGATGCCCCCTCCTCCAGGAAGCCCTCTCTGAAGCTCCCATAGCCCCAGGAACCTGTCTCTATTACAATAATAATATTTATTGGGCAAAGCCCCAAGTTAAGTCCTTTATATAAATGATCTCACAAAATCTCTACAAAAGGAGACAAGGTGGTATTACTGGTCTCATTTTACAGATGAGGAAACTGAGGCACAGAGATTAAGAACCCTGCCCAAAGCCACAGCAAAGAGATGGGGGAGCTGGGATTTGACCCAGGTGGCCGGGCTCTGGAGCCCCAGCACTTAGCCAACCAGCCCATTCATTTGCTCAGAGACCCCTAAACCCTATTTTCATTTTTACTCTGTTGAGTCTTCAATGTCAAGGGCCTGGCATATACCAGGCCTCAGTGAATATCACTGAATGAACATACTACCTGGGGTGGCTGGAAGCTTCTCACCCTCTACCACATGTTGGTTTCTTCTGGGACAAGGGACGAACTGGTTATAAGGGGCTTTTGACTAAGAAACTAAGAGCACACGTGAGAGCGCTCCTGTTCTGAGTTATCTCAGATCTGCCCCTGCCGCCCTGCCCCCACTCTCCACTGTGGAGTTCAGGTCCTGACCTCTCCCTCCAGCAGTCTCTGCTCTCCCCCCTCACACAATCAGCACTTCCTGAAGGCCCTGCACCAGGGGCAGGGCTGCAGGCATAAGTCAGAGGGCTCTGCCCCCAGGGGCTCAGTCTCATGGTGATTTTGGCAACTTGCCCCTCCTACTTCTGTTTTGCCTCCATGCCCACGAGAGGACTGGGTGGGGAAAAGTGGGTCCAGAGAGGGCTGGAGGGTTAGAGAGCCAGTCAGGAGCTGGGGCCACCCCACCCCCACCCCAACCATGCCCCAGACATGCCCTTCCTCTGCTCAAAACCCTTCCATGGTTCCCACCTGCCCTTCTCTCAAAGTCTGTCTCCTAGTCCTAGCTCATTTTTTCTCTTCTTGCAGGATCTTAGCTCCCTGACCAGGGATTGAACCTGCACCCCCTGCAATGGAAGCGCAGAGTCTTAACCACTGGATCGCCAAGGAAGTCCCCACTCAATTTTCTTTCATTGAGATTTATTTTACATAAACAACACAAATTTTAAATGTGGCCTCAACAGATTTTTTACAAAAGCATTTACCTGAGCAACTACCACTCAGTTCAAGCTTGAAGTTTCTGGGCCCCTAAAAACTCTCATGCCCCTCCCATCTTGATTCCTTTTGCCCAGTTTTGAACTCTGAAAGGAACCCTGCTGCACACCCTGGTGTGTACCTGTTTCTTGGTACCAGCCAGGTGCACATTCGTTTTTACTACAGAATGGTGTTACTACACGCACAGGCCTCACCTGGGGGGGCTCTTCAGGCTCTGCACCCCCCTGCCCCTGCCTCTAGCCTCCCCATCCCCTCCCTGTCATGGCTGCTAATGATTCTGCACCCAATTCCAGTGTGTGAGGGTTTTTTTCCCCCATACCAAGCAATTCTCAGACACCACAGTCGACTCAATCCTGACACTGTCTACCTGGAGACAGCGTCATATTCCACAAGTTAAGGGTTCAGTCCTACAAGACTGCCCCCTACCCTCACGCCTTCAGATGCCAATTTCAAGTCCAGGCTGTCACCCATGCTTCTGACCAACTGGCTACAGATCCAACAACCCCCTTCCTTGGGTTTGATGAGTGGCTCACAGAACTCAGAGACACACTTGATTTACTAGATCACTGGCTTCTTATAAAAGGATATAACTCAGGAACAGCCACATGGAAGAGATGCATAGGGCAAGGTATGGGGAAGGGGCAGGGAGCTTCCATGACCTCTCTGGGCACCACTCTCCCCAAGTCTCCATGTGTTCACCAACCTGGAAGCTCTCCAAACCCTGTCCTTTGAGGTTCTCTATGGAAGCTTCATTACACAGTCATGACTGATTAAATCATTGAACGTCCGTGACTAATTCAACCCCCAACCCCTCCCCCCTCCCTGGAGACCTGGAAGTTCTGACCCTCTAATCATCCAGTTGGGTCCCTTGGCACCCAGCCCCTATCCTTAGGTTACCTAGGTACTTTCCAAAGCCACCTCAATAACATAACAAAACACACCCTTATTACTCCGTTCCAAAGGGTTTAGGAGCTCTGTTCCAGACTCAGGGGACAAAGACCAAATACATATTTATTATAAATCACAGTATCACAGCTGCTCCAGCCACAGGGCTCTTCCCTCCCAAACATTCTCTGTCGTAATTGCCCACCACTCTCCTGGCCCTTTTGCCCCATCCATGTAGAACAAACATTGCCAGTATTTGTCCAGTTCTTTATGATGGTTGGTAAAGGAAGCTGTATCATCTACATCAACACCAGACTGCAGTCCAAAGACCTGTTTTGAGCTTTTCTGCTGTGCGGGATTACTGCTAACATATAAAAACTAGGAGAGTGCTTTTCACAATTTGGAGGCAATGTCAAATGGTAACACTTTCCTTTCTTCTAGCAGGATGAGCTGGCCCTTCCTCAATTCAAGTCCAAGCCCTGTCTCCACTTGTAACCAGGCTGCACCCTCTCTCGCCTCCTTGAGGGATTGGGTCCTAAGTCTCCTGCCTCATCCATTTTCCCTGCTATTGAAACAGGAGGGAAGGGGCAGGGCACAACCTTTAAAAGAATGACATAGCCAAAGGACATGACAAAAACTGGTTAGAACCAACTAAGTCCAAGACGGTGGAAGATTCAACTTCCAGTGGAACTTGAGCCTCATTATATGCTCATTGTAATACATTAGTTAAATGACACACCCACCAGCACCATGACAGGTCTGAGGACAAGCATAAAAGGTCAGAGTGTGCTGTAGTGCAATTCCTGGAAATCCACGCCCATTCCCCTGAAATAGATGGAATAATCCTTCCACTCATTAGCCTATGAAATTACCCAGTCCATAAAAATTAACCACCCCATATTTCAGGGCCTCTCGCCTTCTGAGAAGGCCCACACTCTGTCTGTGGAGTGTGTTTCTCTCTAAATAAATCCACTTCTTACATATCACTTTATCTCTCACTGAATTTTTCTGCGAGGAGACATCAAGAACCTGAGCTTCATTAAGTCTTGAGACCAGGTGTGTCATCTCAATTAAAAGGCCATGGGGAAGATGGCAGAGTAGAAGGATGTGAGCTCACTCCCTGTGTGAGAGCACTGGAATCACAACTAACTGCTGAACAATCATCAACAGGACAACACTGGAATTCACCAAAAAAGATACCCCACATCCAAAGGCAAAGGTGAAGCTGCAGTGAGATG